CTGTTAAGCTTTAGTCGTATGAATTACCTTTACGTTGATAAAAATATGATAACTTCAACATTTTGCACTTAAATAAATAAAGCATAGAGCAGCTCTAACAAGGAAGCTTAATTAAATAAAACGCCGGATATCATAATTCCATCGGTTTGAGGACATTCCGTGCAGCTCATTCTTGGAACGTTTAATATCTATCAAAAACGGAATCAGCAAAAAACCCATTTGTATTAAATACGACAACTACCATACCGTTTACGAGACACGTAAGTGTATAATCTATTGACGCACGTGCCTTTGTTAATCCTGAATGCGGTGTAACTCTCCAGGAACGATGGTTAGGAAACTACCCGCCTATATGACTGAAATACTGTTGGAAAAAGGCGTAAAATTAAACAAACAAACAAACATAATCCTGAATGCGAATTTATAGGTAATTGTGTATAATACTAAAATAATTATTTTTAGACATATTTTGATTGCGGAGCTTGTAAAATATTACATTTCATTAAATAGCCTAATAGAAATTCGTTGAAGTATAGATAAAATACTAAATATATTGAACGATTTGAATATACACGTCCTTACAGTGTTAGGCTTGTATTTTCTCGCTTTTACGTAAAACACAGCAAAAATAACAGCATCATTTCTAGCCTTTCCTTTACACAAAGTCTGTATAGGCAAAGCTGCATCCACGACCGAGTGGTTAAGGTCGTTGACTTCAGACCAAATGCCTCAAACCGTTGTATGTTCAAATTCTCACATGTGATAATGCTTTCCAGGTGGTTCTAGTCAGGAGCTCGTTTGTGTCATAGTTCTTAATATCCTTTTATGATTACTTCACGTATTTATGAATTAACTTCAACGTAATATCGGTTTGTTTTGTTTTTTATGTCGTCTTACAATGTACAGGTTATTCTACTTTGTACCTTATAAATAACAAAATAATAGGAACAAATACTTATTCACACACTATGTAAACAAAAAAGCCCTTTTAACTCCATAAAATGGAAACCGAAAAAATAAATATTTACACTTAACCACTTAATTTTTAGATAGTATTCGAGAAGAAGGTTATTGAAATTTCACAAAACATTAATAATGTTTGGAATATTTCAATTTATCAAATGGTCTTAGATAAAGAATTTAAAATTTGTTGACATAAACTATGAACTTTTTAGCATTGGTTCGTGCTTGAACAATTATTCAAATAAAATTAATATTGATATGTCTAATAAATTTTAACTTTTAAGATTTGCAGCTCCTTAGTTCTTGTTTCAACGCTTTTCACTGTTTTCCATTTCAGATTACATTTTCTCCATTCGAAATTCCATGCGAACCATTTTCTCTTAAACTTTCTCTTCGAAATCATATTTTGAACAGTGCGGTTCTTCCGACTTTGTATATGCTAGAAGTTAATTCAGAAAGAAAAGTTTAAAGAATAAAATTCTCATTGTTGATTTAGATGCGTCACAAGTTTCATTCTACTGAGAATATTTCTGTTGACATAGTTTGTAATTTTCGGATATCATAGAAAGTTTTATCAAAACTTTATAGCAAAGACATATTAATAAATAACCGTTATAATTTTTGTAGCCAATATTTCATAATAATTTCAATAGGCAAACGTGAGACCTGCAATAGAGCAAAAGTAAAATATATGATCTGCAAGCCTCAGCATAAGCAACCTTTATAATCCTAGGCAAAAGTTGATTCATTAATACTGCAAAGTTATATTAATGAAACATAAATTGGCAAAATGTGAAGACTGCATTCAAGTGAACACTACATGGGCGACATGTGGAGACGGCGTTCAAGAGGCGACTACAAGGGCGGAAATGTGAAGACTGCGTTCAAGAGAAGACAACATGGGTGACATGATGTTTATGAAGAAACATGTAAGAGGACCACACAGACAAAAACAATATTGGTTATATGAAATTCATAAATACTACCTGGGAGAAATGAGATTTCGGATGCTGCAAGCGTGAATTGAGACTTTCTTGTAATTAAAGCTTCCGAGGGATCACTTTTCTCCAGATTTTTATACTTCACAATAGCAGGTGTCATGTACTGTGTTGCAGCTGTAAAAAGTTGCCCCGTTCTTTACTTCAGTGTTGTATTTTCTGGTCCCTTTTAAGTGTTGAAAATGAGTACCACTCACGCCGATGCAAGGAAGCGTGAGGAATGTTGCACATTTTTAATTATCATTTATGTGCAGACGCAATCAAACGGAGTTTGTAATTTTCAAGTAATATTGTCGTGATAAATGCTCGCAAGGGATCACCTTTTCCACATTTTCTAACGAAAACTGCATGGGTGAATTGAAAACCATGATCACTGTATGGGTGAAATGGTCTTACAGTGCTTAAAGTTATATATCTCTATCGTATGGTTTATGTATGTCCCCAAAAGGGACAGCTAAGAGGCAATAAAGCGTTACCAATATACACTTTCACATGACAGCTTTGTGTTATATTATCTTATGTGTATATATGTTTATATTTAATGAAGGTATAACACACCCATATTAACACCCATATACGTGTATAACTTGTTTCAAACTCAATTTTAATACAAAATAGTCCTAAAAACAATATGTTAAAAATATATTTGGTTTAGCACATTTTATGTTTTACTGTCTATGAAGTAGCAGTATTTACTAGTGCATCTAAATTTTTAGTTACACAGGCTTATACTTTGCTTGTTTCTATCCATACAATTCTAACACAAACAACAAAGAGTTACTTAAATGAACTCCAATGGGGTGCATTAGCTTGAATAATAAAAACCGAGAATCCAAAATATCAAATTGGGCAAACAAATGATACAAAAGAAATATACTGAGTCTCTTTATTAAACTGAAAATCAGTATACGATGAACATGTAATTTATAGCCCAGTTTGAGTTGCTTTCTAATATTTAGGTCATCTTGAACAATAACATGAGTTGTCAACAGCACTTAGGGTATTGCTCAACTGTTATCATTGCAGAATTTTCTAAGTTCAAAATTGGCAATAATCCTGTCCAAATTCATGCTATAGTTATGATCCCTAGACAGTGACCTATTACTTATTAAGTGATGTTAAGGTCCAATCCATCCCCTAGGTAGTAATGGAGATACCAGCTTTCATGCAAAAAAAACAAGAATTTTTAAGTCGAACATAAAGCATGACCTAGTGTTATACGACTTTATATGCTAATAATGTTAGATAGTCACAAAGAAACGAGTATCAACCGATTGAGATACCCAACAAAGTGAGGGAATAATCTGAAATTTTGAATTTTTGAACGCTTGTTGTTAGTTTATACAAATTTATTTTAGATCAATAGTTGGAAGCTATAAGCTTATTGAAACACTTGTAATTGAAGAAGACCATCATCAAAAAGTATAATAATCTCAAAAAAATAATTCCCGTTCTGCAAAGTGAAAAACCTCAGTAGAGTTCCTTAAATTTATCTATATAATTTGAGTTATACAAATACTATCAATTTGTAAATATTTATTATTTTGCTAAGGCGTTCTCATGTTACAGAAATGTTTTGTCTCATACCAAACGACAGACGCATTGACTACATTAGCCTGGGATTCAGACGTTGATATTTATTGCTAATTCATACCATTCGCGTTATTTCATATTCGATCGTGTTTTGATAAGATTTGCCGAAGAGAAGCACATAATAAAATCGATAGAATGGAGCCCAGGCTATGACGACAGGTGCAAAGCAGTATACCCTCACTTCATTGAAGGGGAGCATTATCAACAAGTACATTTTTGTCATCTCAATTTAAACATTTATGTACATATTTATATATACCATTTAATTTCCTTTAACATTTAACTTTCATTTAAGGGTTAACTTGTAAATAATATAAACAAATCCCATTGTCCTATATATAACATAACAGTGATATTTATATATACCAGTCACTTGTCTTATATATATATCATATAACTGGAATTTATTTTTACCATTCACTTTTCCTACATTCATTCCAATGGTATTTATATGAACCATCCTCTTGTCCTATATATAATAAATCTGGTATTTATGTATAACAATTACTTATATATATCATATAACTGGTATTTATATATAACATTCACTCATTATATATCATATAACTGATATGTATTTACCGCAATATTTATGTCTTAACACATTCTGGTATATTATATGTAAACTATATAATAATGCATCATGACAGAAAAATCATTAGTGCGTCTGAACTGCTGAATGTTGTATTTATAAAAAAACGCTCGTTTACTTAAATTAGATATTGCGGATCCCATTACGGACAAATTTCAGTTAACGTCAAAGTTTGGAATATGTGGAAGTTTAAACATATCCAAAATCATTAAAATAGAGCTTGGAGCTATATTTGGTTATATGATAATGAATATAATATTCTATTCAAATTTACAATTTATATATACTAATTTGTCCAATGACAAAAAGGTTCTTTTATAGCTGCTACATCTAAAAAAGTAATGCCATCCGAATTATAATTATGAATAAGGGAAATTGCACACACAAAGAGGATTCATATAACTGTATGATTAGTCTCACTTAAATATAACTATTTTCTTTAAACTCCGTTCGACATGAATGTGTATAAACGTGCAGTAACAATTTCGTTACCAAAGGTATAATCTATAACATGTCGTAATTATGTGACGTCATATATGATGGGTGAAAGCGTACACCTTGAGTATGCATTTGGCACACTTGTATATGTTTAATATGGAAATAGATCCTGTTGCAGTTCCATTGCGCCCTTTGTGTTTTATCTTACACGTTATTCCACGACTCAATGTATCATTCCTAGTACAGAACATATATTGTACATAGCATTATTTATGCACTGATAGCTTAGTCTTTGTTTAATAAGAAAATAGTGGAAAGTGAAATTAAAATAATTTTTAATAGCCTCAACTAGTATTAAAAGAAGAGGGTGGTGGGGGGCAAATAATACACACATTAATTATGTACATTTTTTATTAAGAAAATTCACACATTCATGTTATCAAAAATGATCAAAAAATGATTTTTTTACTTCTTTTAAAAGTATTACATTTATAACATAATAATTATAACGTAACAAACCGGTAGAATAACAATGGTCTATATAAAGTTTCTATGACAAGATATAAAGGTTATACATTGGCTACATTTTGTTAACATTTCTCTATACTGATATACATGCCACAATTGTTTGATAAATTTCATGAAGATAGGCCTCTATTCTAATAAAAGTTCAACTTTTCAACCTAACAAAATTCATAGTGTTTCAGACATGTTATAAGTGTAAATGTTAGTCAACCAATGCCAAAAATCTTGTGTAATTTATTACCTTCCAATTCTTTAGTTAAACTAATTAATTTCAACAAACAAAGTTTCATATATAGTGAAAAGGATTGAGCATGTTTCAAGATTGAGACAAGTTATTATTTATGCTAACATAATAACATATAATGAATAATGTTTTCAATGAAAATTTTAGATTTTAAACAATCATGTATAATATAGATATATATGTACAATTGACATAATATATTTCAGCAGAACTTATATTAACTTCATATAAATTGTTTTAGCATGAATTATGGCCAATATAGATTTGTTATCATGTACATGTAAATTATATGTTTACAAATGTACTAGAATTATATAATCTATATTCAACGTCACAAACAAACATGTTTGATGCATGTGCTCATAAGAAAAAACGTATCTTAACATAAAAAGTAGTTTGTTAAACATAAATGCCTCCCGGCTCAGATTTGTGTCAGTAACAATATTTCAAAAATACTTTTTCCATTCACTCAGTTGAGGACGGAATATTGCCAAAAATGTAAACACAGTTATATCACTTGACAGAATCATGGCGTTTTGTAATTGTGAAAGATATCAGTTGGCAAGTCTATGGCAATGACATGTGATGAAGTTGAAAAATATTTATCTTTATTAAAACTATTATCTTTACATGTGAATGCAATACTTAACCTTGAACCCAGCTGCCCCAAACTCAATCCGAACTTTAAGGACCACCTTTGGTATGTTCCTTGTAAATAAGAGATCTTGGTAAAAAATACAAAGGCTTTATAAAAAAAGTGTAGAAATTCTATTGTCATTACAAGTGGCATTGACTTTGTGATTCCTAGCACTGGCCTTTCAAAAGTATGTTCCTTTTAAAAATGAAAAACTTCAGGCTAGAAATAAAGGCTTTATAAGCCAATGTACAAAATATTATCTTTGGCCCAATCGACTTTGACCCACTGACCCCTAACTCAATCCAAAAACTATGCATGATATCTTCCTACCAAATATGAAAGGCATATGTCAATAAATAATAATATGAAAGGCATCTGTCAATAAATAATGACGATATGGGCAAAAGTGTAAAAATCTATTTTTAGCACTGGTGACCTTGACCCAACTGACCCCTAACTCAATAAAAGGATGCAAGATATCATCTTTTTAAATATGAGAATTATATCAGTAAAAAGGCTGTTTTAGCAAGTGCGTAGAAAACAATTGTTGGTGTTCTTGACACACTGACTCTTCATTCAATTGAAAGGAATGATAACATGCAAGCTATCTTCCAATCAAATGTGAAATACATCTGTCCATAAATAAAAGCTATAGAGACAAAAGCAAAAAAAAATACTTTTTAGCACTGATGACCTAGACCCATCTGACCCCAAACTCGACTTAGTGGAAGAAGACCATGCATGTAATCATCCTACCAAATATAAAAAACATAAATCAAAAAGTAAAGGCTGTAAAAGCAAACTAGTATAAATTTATTGTTGGCATCCTTGACCTTGTCACACTGACCCCTAACTCAATCAAAAGGAAGAATACCATGCTTGTGATTTTCCTATCATATATGAAATAAATAAAAGCTGTACGGGCACAAGTGTAACAATCTATGTTTAACACTAGTGACCTTGATTCAACTGACCGCTAACTCCATCCGAAGAAGACGATTCAATTTTATGTTTCTACCAAATAAGAGACATCTGTAAGTGAATGAGGTTAATTCACCTGTAAAAAGTAAAAAATCTATTTTTGACATTGCAGACCTTGACATTGACCCCAAATGGCCTCTAACTAAACTCAAAAGAAGAGAACCTCCATTTGCAGTTTGTACTAAACATGAATGGCATCAACTAAAAAACAAAGGCTGAATGAGCACAGATGTTTAAATTTGTTTTTTACACCATTGACTTTGACCTTGACCCTAGAGACCCCTTACTCCATAATAATTATTGGACCATTTCAGGTATCCACCTACCAAATATGAAAGATATCATTAAATAAATGACGTAATTATGAGATTTTAAAGATAAATCCAACTTTTCGGAATAGGTAAACGATACAAAGCCCTTTTTTAAAGTGATGAAAAGGGAAATAACTGGGGGAAATGGATGGCAAAGTTATATATCTTGGCAATATCATGTACTTTGTATTGATAAGTAAGTAGGGTAATTATGAAGCCATTAGTAAAGATAATGTAGATAGAACTTAATATATATCCAATTGCAATTTGCCGTTTCAGGTTAACCAATTATTATTTTTCTAAATGAGCAAAAGGGCAAAAACTTGGTAAAAACAAACCCATTAATGAGCCTTTAAAGCAAACAAGTATAACAGTTACTGTTTAAAACGTATGTATGGTTACATATCACAAACATACACAATTACGTGTAATGTTCAGGCAGACTTAAGCTCTAAACATTTAAACATTTTTATATCATTATGAAGAACAAGAGTTGTCGACAGCACAGTGTGGATAATGCAGATTTTTTAACTTCAAAAAGGGCAATAATTCTTTAAAAATTCAATAGTTTAATTCATTATGTCTTTCAACATGAAATAATTTTTAATTTAAGACTAAACTGTTAATTGCATGTATCATCTCTCACTATGTTAAAAATCAAACCATTTTTCATTGCAAAGAAAAATAAACATTTAGTTCAAACACTGTGTTACATATATGTATCATTTATCACTTTTTTGTTGAAAATGCAAAGCCATAACAGGTATCAAGGCTTACATGAAAAAAAAGATCCTTATCTTTTACATAATGTTGGGCATCATATTTCTTCCATCCTTCTGGTGATGTTAATGTTAACATATCATTTAACTCCTCACCTTCTCCTGATTCAATACAGTGCAATGCTCTCACATCCACAGTATGTGGAATAGCGGGAAGACTATCAACCAACTTCTGCCATGTTGTCAAACTCATAATTACTTTATTAAGCTTAATGCTCTTTAACCTCTTCATTTCTAAAGGTGACTGTATTATACTGTCAGTTAACCTACAACACAATAACTCAAGCTCACTGAGATTGTGTAACAATGGTAATACTGTTATTAGTCTCTCGGTTATGTTGATATGATATAACTGAGATTCACTGAAAAGACATCCATGCAAAACAAGTTCTTTTAATTTGTAAGATTTTTTAATAATCTCAAATATTTTCTCATAATTACTATCTTTCAATTCACTAAATCTAAATAGTTCAAGGTGAGTAGTATCAGCATCTATCACACTAACAGTATCATACAAATAAAGGTACTGAAGTTGTTGATGTTTTGATAAATTTACCTCATGCTGCTTCATACACACACATTTAACATCATCAAGATAGATTTGTTCAAGATGACTGGTTTTCTCAAGAAAATTACAAAATGAAGTAGTATCATCATTACTCATTTTTATACGACTCATTCTTATTGCTACAAGATTGATCATACTAGGAAAGTAACTAAAAAGTGTTTTACCTGCTTGGCTATATGTGTCTGTGAAATAGTCACTAACAAGAGATAGAGATTTTAGTGTGAAAGTATTTACTTTTATTGTCTCAGAAACATAATTGTTAATCTCATTAATCATCTGTTCATTACATTTTGAAATTGATATACTTTGCAATTCATCATCATCTTCATAGTTATCACTTGTTATCTCAATTTTTTCAAGATGATGAAACATTGGTAAATTTTTTATGAGTTTAACATTTTCTGTGTTGATGTTATTTACATAAATAGACAGAACAGAGTCAAAAGCAATTTGTTTCTGATCAATACTTGAACAAACAATATCACAATACTGATTCCATCCAGAAATGACTACATCTCCTATATAATATACAGGGTAGCTTCCTACACTACATGATGCATTTAATTCTTTCATTGACTCAAAAAAAAGCTTTTGAATATCAGCAATCAATTTTGTATAAGAATCAAAAATACAAAATTCTGTATTGTCTTCGCTATTCACTGATCTCCTGTATTCCTGAATACGAGAGTCTTCCGACACAGTGTCATATATGTATTTTGAAACATGTGTTGTTAATCTAGGTTCAAGACCACATAACAAAATTACGACATTTGACTGTTCTAATATGTCATTTACTGTTAAACATTTCTGAAAAATATCACAAATAAACTTTTGCGCTAATCCAACATTTTCTATAATATCTGACGAACCCATTTTTGTATTGAAATTGATACAAATATTCACTGCAGCCACAAATTCTTGCATTGATTTGTGAATAAAAGAGAACAATGAGCTTGGTGGTTCTGACACAGATAAACTTGGACATTCATCTTCTCTCATTATTCCAAGTTTCAAGCAATTTTTTCTTACTTCATCTGATATGTCTAGTTCATCAAACATGCAAATGTCAAATGTCAAGGATTTGTTCTTTGGACAATTAAATAGTGCCTCATAAGCCAACTGTGACACATTATAAATGAAATGGCTGTTTAATTTTAATATGTTTTTATCTGCTAAATATTTAGGAAGATCTATTTTCAGAGAATCCTTCACAAGTCGAGTACTTGTTCCTGTAGTTTTCATGTCATTCCATGTAAAGAAAAGTTCTAACATACCGGTGTAGATGGCACATCTTGAGGTTTTATCAAGTTTACTATCAAACCATTGACATATCAATTGTTGTAGCATAATTGGTATCTGCTTTAAACATTTCAGAGACTTTTCCTCCAGCACTTCAAAACAATCTATAGCTTCTTTATGTTCATGTCTTTTTACATTTAATTGTGACACTGTCCTATCTACCATTTCCCTTTGACATCTATAATCAAACCCTTTTAATTTGAGCGACTGTTCAATCATCACATCACTTGATATTAATGTATGTAATTTCCATGGCCGTGAAGTAGTTACTATTGTGTACTCTTTAAATATGCTATGTTCTGGGACATTTTCAGAAGACCATTCATCTAAGCCATCAAGCAAAATCATCACCCTAGAGGATTCCTCTTCAAGAAGGGTACTTAAAATTTTCATTTGATAGCGTTTTTGAAGCATTTCATCAATAATGTCAATGTTTTGATGGTGTCTAAGGGGGATGTAAAATAGAAAATCAAATTTTGTCATCTCTAAAACACCATTGAATTTAAGTTCATAACTTTTGCTGTCATATTTAAAGTCGTCACTGTCAGATTGAGAGTCTGTCAAGTCACCATCAGAGTAATCATTGTAGAAGTCAGAGTATAATAAGTCATCATCTTCATCCTGAATGTCATCACTGTCACTTCTATGTTTCTTAATGTCACCCACGTGTTTTTCATCTCCTTGTTTCTCATTAATACCTCGATGTTTCTTACTTCCTTCTTCGCTTTCAATGTCTCTACTTTGTTTCCTCTTGACCACTCCATTTACAATGTCACCTTCATTTTCATTGTCAGCTCCATGTTTTTCATGTCCTTCATTATTACCTCCTTGTTTCTTACTGCCATCTTCATTTTCATTGCCAGCTTCATGTTCTTCGTAATCACCTCTATGTTTCTGATTGCCACCTTCAATTTCGTTGACACCTCCAAGTTTTTTACCCTCATCTCCATGTTTTTCACTGTCATCTTCAGGTTTACTACTGTCATCTTCGTTTTCATTATCAGCCTCATTGTGTGCCAAACACCAACAGTTGATCAGATATTTACAAAAACTAGTTTTTCCTGATCCTGCATCTCCTTGAACATATACGGATTTTTGGGGGGTTCCATTCTTTGTGAAGATATCTGACATTGTTGCAACCTCCACCTCCTCTGTCGCCCCCTTTTCTCCTTTTATTTCCATTGTTATTTTGGGTATAATATAAATCTCATTAAAGCTAAATTTTTCACTTTTTGGTTGTAAAGGTGTTGTAGGAACTTGCAGCAGGGTTTTGTGATACCATTCTATCAGCTTTTTCCGCCATTCTGTAATTAAAATGATAATATGAAATCCAAATGAGAACAAATCAATGAGTAAATAATACAGAAATATATTAAAGAAATAGAACACAGAACTGAGGGACTCATTCAAATGTAAAATCCGATCAGTCAGTCAGCAAACATTGAACAGACTGAAGCAATTTTATAACAACAATCAGTCACTGGCATACAATATACCAGATTTAGATTTTGTATATTCTATACAGGAGTGATAAGTGATCATATATGTCGCCTCACGCCTCAGCCAAAAATTAGTCAACCTAAAAACCTTTGTAATATGCTACCAATTAATCCTTTAAAGTTCCATTGAAATTGCGTTAGTTGTATAACAATAGTAGTCCAGAATGATTTAAAAGATTAAAATCATTAAAGGGTCACGACTCTTCAAAATCAATGAACCATCATTTTGATGAGATTCACAACTAGACATAGTATTGATCATTCAGGAAAAGTATTGATGAAATTGCACCAGTAGTTTCTGAGATGAAGTCAAGGCAAGCTTCTGTGTAGCTGACAACACAAAAAAACACCTTTTATAAAAGGGCCATGACTGAGCCAAACTCAATCGAGCAGAAAACTTGTGTATCATGCACAAAAACTTGAGCTACAAATCAATCATGAACATTTCATTGATATTGCTTTAGTGGTATATGGCGAGTAGTCTAGACAAACTTTAAGAATAACAAAAATGTTAAACGCCACATATGACCCGCTTTCTAGCATTGACTCCTACTATGAGTAATTTTGTTATAGAAACATGACATAAATGTGTAAGACTTGTCATTTAAAAATGATTAATTGGAAACCACTTTTAATTTCAGGTGACTGTGATATTGACCTTTGATCTAGTGACCTTTAAACCAATAAAGTCGTATTGTAGTTTTGAATACTGTGATTGAAAGTTTGCAGATAATGAGCAGAAACCATTCCATTTAAGGCCACTGTGACCTTGACTTTTGACTTAGTGACCTCAACATCAGAAAAGTCATATACTAGTTATGACAAATCAATATGTGAAATAAAAGACTTTGTTATTAATAGGTGTCAAGAGATAATGTGGAAACCATTTTGACATTCAAGGTTTTTGTGACCTTGATCTTCGACCTGATGAGATCAAATCAATAGCGGTCATCTACTAGACTCAGTGATGATTAATTAAAATGTGAAGAACAAAGACTTGATAACAGGTAGTTTTAAAGATAATAAGGGGACATAATTCTGATATTGAGTCCCCTTAAATATTGAACTTTGACCTAAAAACCCAAAGTTAAAAGGGGTAATGTACTAGTTATAACAGATTAATGTATGAAATATAGAAAATTAGTGATAAATAGTTTTCAAGACAATTGGCGGACACCATTCTGACATTTTATGCTTCGGTGTCCTTGACCCTTGATATTGTCACCCATAAATTAGTAAGGTCATCTACAACATATGACTAAGCAGTATGTGAAGATAAAGATTTTGTGATTAAAATGTTCAAAGAAATTAGCTGAAACCATTCTGACAGTTAATGTCCCGTGACCTTGATCTTATCTTTGAACTTGTTACCCATAAGTTGATAAGGGTCATTTACTACATATGACTTATCAATATATGAAATATGAATACTTTTTGATAAATAATTAAAAAGATAATGAGCGGAAACCATTCTGATATTTAAGGCCCCTGTGATATTGACCTTTGACCAATTAATTGATAGTGGTCATGTACTTCATATGACTAATAAATATAAGAAATATGTAGACTTTGCTATAAATAGTTTACAAGACAATGAACGGAAACCATTTCCATATATAAGGCCCCTGTGCTAATTACCAAAAAATATTAGTGGAACTCCTATACCAGTTATGACCAATCAGTATTTGAAATAAGAAGACGTTGTGAAGAATTGTTTTTAAGATAATCAGAGCGGAAACCTTCAAACTATGAAAGTGACCTTACACACAACACGTCGTCATGATGTGGTAGACACTTGGGCCAAGTAATTGAGTGAAGTTATTTAAAAATCCTTCAATGAACGACAGTAACTGTCCGTGCATGGATTCTGTACTTCCTTCAAGTTTTAAGTGTGACCTTGACGTTGATGCCAAGTTATTTTAAAAATCCTCCGTTGCATTACAAAGTTAAAGTCCGGACACGAACGTGTGTACCTATAAACTCTATTTTTAATAGTGTGAACCTTCAAACTGTAAGTGTGACCTAAACCTTTAAGGTAGAGACGTGTTTCTTGCACGGAACATATCGTAGTGATGTTGAAGACATTGGTGCGAAGCTATTACAAAATATGGCAATGCATGACAAAGTTACAGTCAGTACACGCATGTTGTGAAAGTTTGGACGGAGAGACGGACAGACAGACATAAGCCTTAGTCATCACACATCGTCTTGATGCAAAAGAAATTGGTGCCAAGCTATTTAAAAATCTTCCGATGCATAACAAAGTAATAGTCCGGACATGAATGTGTACCTTTAAACTGTTCTTGGGAGAATCAGTACCTTTTAACTACAAGTGTGACCTTTACCTTGGAGTTCTTAGACGCGACACGTCGTCTTGATGTGGTAGACATTTATGCCAAGTCATTTTAAAGTCATCCGATGCATGACAAATTTAAAGTCCGGACACGAATGTGTGTACCTATAAACTTTTATTATTATAATTTGAAACTTCCAAATGTTAGTGTGACCCTGACCGTTGAGGTAGGGACGTTGATCTTGGACGTGATACATCGCATTGATGTGGTAAACATTTATGCTAAGTTATTTTAAATTTATTTCAGAACCTTTTAATGCATGACAAAGTTATGGTCCGGACACGAATGAGTGTACCCAAAAACTTTAATTGTGTTAATGTGAAACTGTAAAATGCGTGTGTGACCTTGGACTTTGAGGTAGGGACATGGGTCTTAGACGTGATAATTTGTGCCAAGCTACTTTAAAATGCCTCAAACCATGCTAAATTTATTAAGCCTTTTCACGTTTTAAGTAATATACCTTATTTAGACTTTTCATATTCTATATAACACACCAATTTACTCTCTTCATATTCTATATATTAACATACCTAAATATACCTTTTCGTATTCTATATAACATACCTGATTTAGCCTTTTCATATTCCAACTGTTTTTGTTGGGGAGAATCTTCTTCTGTAAGTCTTTTTATCTCCTACAATATAGAATATAATACAAATAAATTTGTTTTATTCGGATATTTCAAAATTATTTACTGAATAAAGTCATATTGGTATGTTCAGTCAATTTGTTTAACATACAGTGTTCCAATGTATATCAAAAACATCAAATTAACTTTCCTTCATTGAAAATTCAATGTTATTGCAATGGAGGAATTCTTCATCACTACATTTTTGGTGCAATCATACATAATTTTACTAAAGAGTATCTAATTTTTCCATAACATATTTGAATTGAGGGACAATAAAAAATAATATTCAAACAGTCTATAGTCCATACTTTTTATGCTACCTTTTACCAATTGATACGCCCATTTTATTTTAAATTTATTATTTGCAGTGGTCTTTAATTATGTTTTCAGATTTTGCATTTGAGCTTAATCAGCAAAATTAGGCACTAGAAAATAATATGGTATTTGGTCACTCACCAGAGATCAATGGCTAGAAAAGTCATAATTAAGGTCATTTGAAATAACCCAAGAATAATATCTGTACAATTTAGTCAAACTTTTAAGAAAGGTTGGTTGACAAACCACGTATAACAGCCATGATACAATCAAGCTCAGTTACAGATCAAAGTTATAAAATAAATTATTCAACAAGCTGGCGTGTCACAAGTGTTAATTTGTTCTAGTGTGAATAAAAACTGTGTATTACCATTTATAACAATGTTAATGTAATTTAGGCATAATATAAATCCTTGACTAAGGCAGTCAGTGCCACTTTACGGTCAATGTCAAACTTAAGGTCAACATGACTTTTATTATTATTGCAATTTCTTATCTGATAACGCAAATTGCTTGACAGTAAATTTACCATGGTTACGCAAACTAGGTGCAGGGTGAATATTCTGTTCTGATGAAAGGCACTTTATGATATGGTTATGGTACACTATTTAGATTTTATAAATACACTAAAACGTCATGCCTCATATCTATTACAACATTTAAACTAAATTTGCCGATGCAATCAGAATTTACAAAAAAAACATATTTTTTAAATTAATACTTGCGTTAAAACTAACGTTGTCAGAACTAATTGAAATTCGGTCAATGATAAAAGTTTGTCACACTGTATTTAACTTACAAAAATATACTTACTATACATGGAAATGTTCTGTGACCTAATTTTTGATTAGCAAACTTAGTTGATCAAGAAAATGTAAAAGAGAGTTTTAGGGTTTTTTTTCTCAGTATTTTGGGAACAAGACCAATAATTGATTGAGGATGCTGGTGACGTCCATCGTATGGGTAATGGAGAGATTGCAGAAAATGAAGGAAGAGGCAGACGAAGAATTTGTCAAGGACTTTTGTGGCGTCAATCGCTTAGACCTTTTTTCTAATTTTTCTTCTTACGAAATTTTAAGCAGCACGCCTCCAGAAGACAAAAATATACTAATAACTTACATATATTTCAAAATCTTTCATCAAATACAATAGTACTTGAAAGTAATCGAAATGACATTTTGATATGTTCTAATTTTAATTTATTGCTTCTCTGAAAACACACAGCTTGCTTTCCGCCAACATAATATACCTTCTTTCAATTTACTACGGAATTCTTTCATCTTTTTTTTTGGTTAAGGACAATGTAACGACCTGTGACCACAGAATCATTTTTCGTATCAACATAGTAAGAAACTAAAAAAGTGCTTTGGCTTTGATATTTGTAGTTATTTGTTGGCCTAAAAATTGTAATTTGAGTAATTATAACATACATTTAATGGCCGTTTATAGATTTTAACTTGAGCTTGAACAATAAGGGCCTTCTCATTTTTGATCTAGACCAGTATTTACTATTTTCTTAAAGTATATATTACGCTCAAACTTGATATTTGGAGAAAAAAAATGTAATTACTATTTATTTTCATAATTAAAATTCTGTTCTGAGTTGTTTTATCTTATTTTTTGTATGTATTCTGCATAGTCATTCAGCAAAATTATTTTCTATGACATAATTTATTACAGGTGTTAGTTTTCAACACAGTTCAGAGGACAAAATTTTCCACAAATACAGAAAGTATTTATCGTCATCCAGACAATTACAAAACGTCATTAAATAACTTTTCAATATTAAGCACGTTTTCACTTCAAATGTAAGGCTAATATGAAGGTCACCACGACAGAATGAACATTAAACAATGTCATTATGCAAAAAGTACGGTCTTTGTGAGAAATCTTGGCTATTATGAGATTGGATAATTTTGATTGACCCTCCAGCTCGACCATCATGAATCTGCCTCTATGTGAAAAAAGTCGCCAATTTGAATTCCTGCAAGGAAGGTTTCCGAGACATTTTAAAACAAGAATCTCATTTGCAATACCTCACAATAATGGAATTTTGCATAAGTTATTTTTTATTCACTAAGTACTTAAATGGTATAAGTCTATATCTCATGAAATATTTCTATAAAATTTGTCAACAGTTATATTTGTTCCATTATTATTTGGTTGATTCCCGAAAACATTGTAACATTAATAATATCTGTCATATGTTGCGGTTCGGACCGGAATATCCGTCCCGAGGGGACCCGCCCATTGGGCGGTTACGAGGCTTGCCGAGTTACCGACCATGGGCGGGTTCCCGAGGGACGGATATTCCGATCCGAACCGCAAACATATGAAAGATATTTTTTCTTGCATATTCTGCCATATTATTTCATATTTAAAATGGTTTACCTCAATATGATATATGTTCATGAAAATTAAAGTAATTTCATCCATAACTATTTTCTTACAATAGCGTATGAACTTACAACTTAAATAACAACGGCGAAATGACGTCATCCTAAGCACATATTTTCCTTCTAAAACGACGTCATTTTAACGCGGTTCATTCATAAAGTGCGCTAAAATGACGTTGTTGTTTGGCACGCGACTCATCTGGCACCCCCATGCCAGATGAAATTTCCGGCATGGGTAAAACTCACGGAAACGCCAGTCTGCTATGCAAGAAAGAATGTCTCTGTTATTTAATACACATGAAGAATATACGTAAAAAGAATAAAATGTACCGGAACAAAATATTTGCTATTTTAAGTAGGGTTTTATCCGTTTAGCAATGATTTATGCATGCGCCACTCGCTATAAAGCAATTTATGGCCATTTTTATTTCATACAAACATTTTGAAAGTATACTTTTTTGAAAATCAAATATTAATTATTGCATCAGATATAAAGCTTTATACACTTTAACCTTTTTAGATTATGTGTAGTTAATAAATAAAATTGTCAATAATTAAGTGTTTTCATAAATGCCTTGTTATTGGCCTTTGGCCTCAGGCTGATATGATAGTCTTCAGTCCAATAACAAGGCCATTATGAAAACACTTTTATTATTAACATTATAGTATGATACTTAATTTTAAAGAGATATACTCTAAAAATCTGATATCTGGAAAACAAGCTTGTCTCAAAAATAAGTCACTAGTTTCTTACAGTCAAAACTGACTTCAAAAATCTTAAAATCAAACAGATTATCAGATGGTTCAAATCTTAAGAGTATATAGGCAGTGATTTTGCTAACATCAAATATCTATGGAGGATACATGTGCCTACTTCGAGAACGCGAACATTGCTCCAAATATAATACAATACACTTGAGTCGTCGTTTACATCAAATTTTACGTTATACCATACGTCGGATCGCTATACATGCTTTTTAACAGCATGACATTTATATTTCTAATGATATCTTGTACGGAATATATTCAAATTTATGTTCTGTGTGTTTTAATATAAATGCATTCAATAGGTAATTAATTTACTATTTAGTCCAATTAAATTTTAATCATCCCTTGTAACAACTGGCATCATGAAAACACAAAGCTTGCTAACCCATGAGAAGCTAATAATGCTGGTCTTCTATTTAAACAATAGTTCTCTTAAAACCATGGCTGTAAGTAATACCTGTACCAGTATTTTAACCAGAAACAAAAAAATGAAAATTCAAGTTTTACCTCTTTTAAGTTGGAAATCTGTATTTCAAGTTTGTTTTTGAGCTTTTCATATTCCTCTTTAGTTGGAGCATTTTCTGTCGATTTCTGAACTTTAACCATTTCTTCCTTGATTTGTCTCATAATTTCTTCAAAGCTTTTAGTCGTAATAATGAAGTCTTTATTTTTCAGCTGATTAAAAGAAATCAGTTTTAATACATTTTCTTTCATAAAATATCATTTCCTCATTTACTTTTTCATTTTAACTCTCATACTTTTTTGTGTGTTTTCAAAGTCGACTTTTAAGGCAGGATGTGCCGTATATACAAACCTGATTCTCAGACATTACTTTTTTCTTACTTTCTTTTTATCTTTTTCAGTGTAACGTGTGGGATTTTAGAGATTTTCGAAATTTTTATAATACTTCTTAGTTTCTTAATTGCATACTTAAATCAACGGTTTGACATGCTTGACATGTTGAGGTTATAATAGGGGTCAAGATATATGATCACTGCTAATTTGAAGATACTTACATTTTGCAAAATCGTTTAGACTTCACAATTTACAAGTCTGATGATTCAGAGGTATGAATTATATAAGTCACAGATTATTGGAAAATACAAACGTTTTCAAGGTTGTATTACTCACTTAAAGAATGTTAATCCTTGACAACATTTTTTAACTTTCGAATTTTGGAAGTAAATTTTCAAAAAAGGGTTTGGAATTCAGAATTAAGAAATCCTGAAAGTCAAAGGTATGAATTAAATAGAATTTCGGGACCCTGATAAAGTGTTTGGATATCAGACGTTTTCGGATTTTAGAAGTTCCTGATTTCTTAACTTATACTATACTTGCAATAATTAAACAAGTTATAGGTACATATGTATTTTATGACACTTTATCAATTAACTTAAAGGATTTTTTTTTAATTTGACTATAATTTACCACTTCAAACTCTGTTACCTTAACAGTACGCAACACGTAGAGGTTTATTATCTCAAATCGTTATAAGTTGACTCTATCAAGATTTCAAACAATCATAATTTATTATTTACACTTACATCTTGGAGTTTCTTCACAGCTATCTGGGCATCGGATCGTTGCAATAGCTCTTTACCATCTTGTAGAACTGCTATCATATCTTCAATGAAAGAATTTGCCTCACTTTCTTCTAATTCCATACTGCTTGAGTGAAAAAATTCATTTCTATACTGACGTACCTATTAATTAGAAAACACAGGTTCAATATTGTCATATACATAAATATACAGTGTTAAGCAATCAAAATTTTGTTGAAAATTGTTAAGGTACTTACCTACATATAAGATTCAATCATTAATTATACTAGGCCTATTTCCATTATTTTAGAAAAATGCCACATGGGACATTTTGGATAATTGCTTTTTTTCAATTTTGGAAGAAAGTAATTGTGAAGTTTATCATTTTGGAAAAAAATATGCCAGAATTCAAGATGTTGAAATTCTTTAATCAAACTTAAACTAGAACTGCCACTGTCATGGCCTAAATACACCCACATATCGTTTGTCAGAATCAACAGTGGTCAATAAGAGCTCAAAGACAACCTCCCTGCTTAATCTGAGGGTCGAAAGCTAGTGCATTACTACCTTGACATATGATGTCAAAATCAATATACTATGGACATGCATTCTTAAGCATCTAAGCATACAAGCTTATTATAGTAAATCCCCTGTGACCTTGACCTTTGAAACAGTCACTAAAATATCAATAAGGGTCATCTACAAGTCATTAACCTCAACACCAAATATGAAGACTGTTGACCAAAGCATTCTTAAGCAATTGAATGAATAAGCTTTTCCAAGAAAATGCCCCTGTGCCCTTGGCATTTGACGCAGTGACTTTAAAATCAACAGGGGTCACCTCTTGGTCATGATCAACCTCCATGTCAAATATGAAGACTATGGATCAAAGGATTTATAAATTATTGTGCAGACAAGTTTTTTAAAGTAAAAGCCCTGTGACCTTGACCTTTGACCTAGTAAACTAAAATTGATAGGGGTAATCTACTAGTCATCACCCTTCTCAATACCAAATATGAAAACTGTTGACTATAGCATTTTTAAGTAATAAGGCCAACCGGCTATTTAAAGTCAAGGTTCATGTTGCCTTGACCTTTGACCCAGTGATTTCATAATCAATAGAGGTCATCTAATGGTCATGACTAACAGCCATGTTAAATATGAAGAGTGTAGATCAAAATAATCTTAATTTATTGGGCGGACAATCTATTTTAGTCAATGTCACTGTGTCTTTGACCTTGGACCTGAAAATCTATAGGAGTCATCAAATATTAATGACTAACTCCGTGCAACACATGGAGACTAAGGGTTAAAGGATTCTTAACTAATTAGGCAGACAGGCTTTTTTAGACAAGGCTCCTGTGAACTTGACCTTCGACCTAGTGACCTTAAAATCAATATTGGTCACCTACTTATCATGCCCAATCTCAATACAAAATATGAAGACTGTGCGCCAAGGAATATTAGGTTATTGGCCGGAAAATCTGACAGACGGCCGGACGGACAAATTGATTTGTGTATACCCCACTTACAACTTTGTTGCGCTGGGGTATAATAAGTCTTATTGGAACTGTTCAGAAATAAAAAATATATCCTAGACGTCCAGGATGCTATCTCACACCAAATACAAAAATATCTACCTTATTTTTTTCAAATCATCGACCTTAGAAGTAAATTACTTCATTACCTTCATAGTAAAATCATCATTTGTTTTTAATTAATTTAACGCTGACTTCAGATCATGAACATCACAGTACCACTGATAAAAGATAAGTAAAAGACATTTTATTAATGATTTACCTTTGAAAAAATGTTGTTTGTTCCTGTGACATTGCATCCAATGTGGCTATGAAAATACTGGTTATTTATCAATAGATGCAAAAGCCCAGTACAATCAGTTTCACTAGCAGATTGCTTCTGCTCGTACCCTGGAGCATTTATAAAACACTTACAAATGCTCCAAGGGTCTAGCGACCACAATTGGGCATCGCTGTTATTCCAGTTAGGTGCAGGTGGTGAGGATGCATGATGCTGTACAATATAGTCATAGATGGCGCCACATATGTTGTTCGGACAAGGAATTTTACCGCTTGTAAAGCGACAGCTGCATTTTACTTGCCCAAAAGGACAAACTTTGTTTCCAGCATTCCCTACCGGCTTATGGTCTGGCTTGAGAGTTTCAACTCGACAGCTGCCACACGTCACAGTTGATGGTAGCGATTTTGTGGACCAAATGTTTTGTAAGATATCCTTATGCTGTTGGTGAGCTATGTCATTACAGAATGGTGCCAACCCCTCCTTTAAATATCCAAGTCCTAAACCTGCCTTTACCCACTGTCTGTATTTTTCATTCTCTAACTGAAGTTGATGTGCCATCATGATACTCTATCAGTATCTAAACGAAATAAAAAAGAGAAATTTATGTTTTGTATTTTTATGAATAAGGAAATAAGGTTTTGGACTTGAAGTCCAAAATATCAGGTAAATATTATAAATGTAGCGAAGTTTCTAAACTAAATCAATTACAGGGACAACAAACTATTACAGGCATGACGGGATTTTTTTTATTTGATGATGTCTCCAGTTTATATTTAACTAAGAGCAGTAGGTACTTGATTCATACTGACTATTATTTGTGCCGGTCTTTTGAATTCATCTGATACGTATTTTGGTATTAGATAACAAGATATAACAGTCATTGCCCTTGCCTTATTTTTAAGGCTCTTCATGAAAAAGAACAATCAATATTGCTCGCTAAGAATGGAAAGCAGATAGAATGTTTTGATCTTTAAATGATCTCACAACGTTCATATGTGCATCTGAATTAGTGAAAATCTTAATGTTTTCTATATTTGGTCTAACTGTCCCCAAATGACTAAATTCGAATTTTTCAGCGTAGATAACTTTTCTGAAAAAACTTCCAGGATATTAAGGAAGAACATGTAACCTATAAAGAGTTAACAATGTTTTTCTAATATTTTGACTGGATTGTCATATTAAGATTCATACAAATTTCCAGTTCTTTTTGAATTGTCACTAGTATTGTTGTATTTGCCATATTCGAAGTCTATTTGTTGTCATAGCAACCAAATCCTTAAATAAGGGAAGAAGATTAGGATAAAAAAATTTATAATCCCCAGACTACAATCGTCCCAATTTTTAGTTTCATAAAATATTTTCAGTTCATTTTGCGTTTTAACGGGATCCAGTTTTTGTTGACCGAGGAACAGACTGACAGATTGACAGACGTCCATTCTTACGAGAGGACATTTTCTTGGTACTTCGTTTGTTTTAAAGTATCTTTTAAAGTATAGCTTTTTGCTATATGCTTAATTTCTGCCCAAATTAACAAGATTCCAGAAAATTATTGAAAATTGAATGGCACAAGTTTTATAACTATCTGAATGACGTACTGACGGACAACAGACGCCGCACAAAATGTGATCACTTTGTGCTCAGGTGAGCTGAGAAATCAAACATGTACACTAAACTTACTAAATTTAAACCACATTAAACATTTATTTACACTTTAATCATTTTCTTTTGACAAAGTTCTAAAGACCTGACCTGACAGACCTTTATCTCATTAAAGAGGCACGCCGGCAATCAACAGCTGAAAATAATTAGTTCACTTACAATGTGGGGCATTGTTTTATTTTTGCATTGTCTTCTTGAGATATTAAACATTTAATTAAGATTTACATATTCAGAATAGATATACTTTTTTGTTAGAGCAATTTGTTCTCAAGCAAAGAGGACGCTGTGATTGAGTAATGCCGATAATGGACGGATATCGATCAAAAATTGAAATAGTCTTGCAAAAATTGCTTTGGATTTAACGTTTTCAGCAATGATTTCTTCCAATTTTGACCTTATGTCCGTAATCGTTGGAGATTAATTATTCATCTGATGATATTAAAAAGTACATACAAGAGGCATGTTTTAATTAGTGGCAACAACTCAATTGAACCATGATTTGCACGTGAAAGTACACGAATAATATACCGTTGAAAAGATTTTTGATGTTTCTAATCAACAGTATATTTTCGTATAATTTGCATGCGCAATAAGATTTTAGAAAGTCATTTGAATACATGTTGGTTGTAAACATGGCTGAGTTGAATTAACTTGAGAATATTAGTTATTAGGTTGCTTAATCTGAAACCATTTTTTAACAGTTATCATTTATTTAACTGAAATAGATCAAAATTGAATTAGAGGCACCTGGTGTTTTATGTCTTCCTTAAATATATATCATCATAAAATGAACAAAAACAATGAAATTCATTAACCATTTTAATGATTGTAAATTTACAACTGATTCTTTAGAAAAAAATAAATGTAAACATGTGATGTCATGTTACATGTTTAAAATGAGGAAAACGTATATTTAATGATAACACATAAATGATATGAATGGTAAACGCAGATTATTTCATAGTACAGTTGACTTGTTTGTTGTGTGTGATAGATGATGAAGCTCATTAACAAGACATGGCTGAGTTGAATTGACAATTTGAGAGAGGAGCAAAGAGCTTATTTCAAAATTTGTGGGTTATTGTGTAAATACGTGGCATTTTCTAGTTCCAATATTCCTATTTGAATAATGAGGAATCACACTTAGAATATTTTATCTGCTTTTAACTTTGTCTTTTGACTTCTTATATATGATATGCAGGCTTCATAACATCTGATCCCCTTTCAAAATTCTATTTTGTTTAATTTCACCCATTGATTCTCGTTTAGGGCACACGCATTATTTTAATTGGGGACCATACCCCGCTTTTCATGGTATGGCACTAACGTGACACATTGATGGTTTTATGATAACCGCCGTATGAACACATCTGCGGATGTTTTTTAAATTCAAAATTTTCCAATTTCATGTTGAATTCTGCTTAAGTTGGAGCTAGTGGCGTGGACGGTAACTTGCATTTTTCCATTACAATCCATGAACTGGCTAAATGCAACCGCAACATTTTCAAATTTGTCGTGTTGGACTTTCTTTAGGAATTTTTATTTTTACTATTTTAGTTAATGGAGAAAATGCCTTTCCATATTGTACAATTGCCATGTGTCAAAGTTTAAGAAATGTAGCACTAATGCCAAGGATGACTTATATCAAATTTCCGCTACCGTCTGTAAAATACATCAGAACTGACAAACCCATAGTTAATGACGACGCAACATACCGTGGAGGAGATAAGTGACGCAGCAGGCCTTAGTTCATCTTATGGGTTTTCCATCTTGAAAGGAAAGATAAACTTAAGGAAAGTGTGCGCCAGTTGGATCCTGCATTTGCTTAATTCTAAAAAAGGAGATGGTTGAAAAAGCCTCAGCCTTATTGACTAGGTTCAACGATGAAGACCCTAGATGCCTGAGAGAAATTGTCACAGGGGCTGAAAAGTGGCTTGATTTTTTTTTTTCAGACCGAAAATAAACTCAGTATCAAAATGCATGTAGGTGAAAACAGCGATCACCCAGTTGTTGCTCGACATAGCAGTAGCGTTAAAAGAGTAATGAACGCTCTATTTTTTGCCATTGATTGAATAGTGGCCCGACTTTTGATTAAATCTATACATCAAATCTTATCTTCAACTGAAATTTAAACTAATCAACAGTACATGCAAATCATAAACCGTGATACACAGTGGTTACAAATTAACAGATTAACATGCGCCCACTGGGACACACACATATTTTGAAACCGTGTGGTTTTTAGGGCACACGCTTTTTATTACTTGGGGACCATACGCCGCTTTTCATGGAATGGCACGGAAGTGTCACATTGAAGGTTCCATGATAACCGCCGTATGAACACATCTGCGGATGCTTCTAAATTCAAAATTTTACTATTTCATGTTTAAATGTTGAATTCTGCTTAAGCCGGTGCTAGGGGGCGTGGACGGTAACTTGCACTTTCCACTACAGTCCATGAACAGGCTCAATCAAACCGAGCCTGCAATTTTGCCGTGTTGGGCTTTCTTTAGCGATTCTGTATTTATCTATTTTATAGATTTTTACGCGGCTTTGACACTGGACGCACATCCAGATTAATCACAGGGCAATTTATATAACAAGACGGTGGCAAAATAAAACACTTATTATAATAAAAGTGATACATACAGTATAATGAAATATAAAACTTTCTCTTTTAGACTTCTAGTATTACTTCACTTTACCTGTCCGGTAAAAATATGGGAGTCGTTTTAGTCTCTCCTGCCAAAAAGAAACGTTATTTGCTTCCGGCATGCACATCAAAGGTTGGATAGATGAAGAGAACCAGAGTTTGTTTGTTTTTTTGTTGTTGTTGTTGTTGTTGTTGTTGTTGTTATTTCAGTAGTCTTTGCAAAAATTAAATAATATATGTCAAATATCAGGTCCCCAATCCACAGAGCTGACATTTTCCCCTGTCTTTTTTTCGAACAATATCCACAGTTTCCGAAAATTCCCTCAGAAACCTATCAATTTAACGCTGTCATACTGGATAAAAAGCAAGTTTAAACACATGAGCAGTATATCACTTCGTACTGCAAGCGATTAAACATTATTTTCGTACCAATTTATTTTTGTATTTTTCATCCGCTTGGAACGTCACCATATGACCTACATTGTGTGGGTTCGACGATAAAAATCCAAATAGCGCTTTTACGATTTGCTTGAATATAACGCAATAACATCATTTCAAAGTGTTTTACACTACTAGTGCAATATCGTATTAAATGGTTTTATTACACTCCTGTGCTGCGGTTTATGTGATAATTGACATATTTTGTTAAATAAATATAGCCCAATATTAATAAAACTAAAAATGTGTACATAGGGCACAGATGACCCCGCTCTCCACTGTCAATCTTCTGACATACAGCAGGACAGTATGACAAAGGGACAGACAAAAGAAATTCTACATGGCTCCGTATACCCCTAAGAGCTTGAGGCATAAACCACAATTCTCAGTTTAAAGTTAAGATTTTTGGATACTATTCTTTGCCTTGATTTTTATTTGTATGCGTAAACGTATAATTTTCTTGCTTAATTTAGGCGTGTGAGCATCTTATCTGCATTTCTGCATCCCTTTCTACAAAATATATCAAGACAAATTTCTTTTTGTAAGATAATTTTAATCTTACAATTAATATCCTCTATAGAATTTTAAGTGCAAAATCTGTCGTAACTTTACGATAGGTGTTCCCCATTCGTATCTTTTGAGAGTAAAATATCTCTTTTTTTCTAAACATATGTAATGTATAGCTTCATGTAAATTGATGAAATAAAAGTCTCTGGTTTACACTTGACATTTTCTTAATACCACATATGGTAGAAACATGTAATGTTGTGCAAGGCATCATAGCACAAAGTTTAAAGGAGATTAGATAATAAGTAAAAGAAATTAGA